CGTGTATGTAGCAGCAGTTGGTTTTGTGTTACTGTTTTCGAGAGGGAAACCCAGACCGTTTTTCTTTTTTTTTGGAGGTTAACGAAGGCAGATAGCTTTTCCAACAGCATCGCGGTTAACCACAAGTGAACTAACCTCAAATCGCCTTGCGTATGACCACTTAGTGACATTCTTACCACCATTCAGCAATGCCCCATCGCATCACAACATATGTTTCACGAGTTCACAAGGTGACTCGCTTCTTACTCCCGCTATATCAGTTAGTGTTCGATGGATCATAGCTTACCTGCGACACGTGTAACATCGATGTGACTTCAGCCTGTCTCTCAGTAGCGGTGTAGATCGAAGACTTGGCCAGGATAGATGGAAACTTTCGGTATTTGGCCGTTGGTGTTCATGGAACCCCGGATCAGTAATACTCTGATACGTCAGATAGTTTTCTGAAGGAAAAGCCCTTTCGTGATAAATCAACTAGTTGCGCGCCCAAATCAATAGAAAATCATCTGTCACCGAGTTGTTCTTGCTCAGTTGAAAACGACGGAGTAGCGAACAGTCTATCATGTGTCAACGAAGTGTGGAACCCTTGGCTAGTAGGGTTGACGACTGCCGTTTCCGTGGATCGGAACCCGATGGCAAGTAACAGTCAGGCGTGGCTCAGCCGGCCAGTGGCGCCCTCACATTGAGAGCGTATTCTATCGTATTCAAGATTCCAACTCCCTACTTCATCACTGGCGCCTCCATATGTCCGATACTGCGCAAGGACATTGGGTGAGATGTATGCAAATCAATCTGAAATGGAGGCACACCGTGACTGACTAATTTGGTCTTAAAGGGGAGGCTCAACTGAATCTCAGCTGATACTGTTATTGGTTGTGGGTGGTCGGCAGCCTTGTGAGTGGCTTGCCCTCCCCCCTCTTCAAGAGAATATACTGCGATATCTCGAGTACCATAGCAACTGAAAGCTGAAGCGGCCTTTGTGCAGTACATTCAGTTGAAGGGCATGAGAGATTCATCTGGGATTCGGCTGAGTCTGCCGTTAACACCAATTTGTTTGGGAAATGAGCGTAATTCACGAACTGCGCGCAGTTCGGGTTCAAGTGGAATATAGAGTTGAGGGCAAATCGGGGGCTACGCTTACCTGATGAGCCCGGACTAATTCGGTCGTGGGCTGTCGCGAACCTTATAAGTGATAGGTTCCGTCAAGAAGGCACAACTGAATGCCAGCAAAACGCACTTATTTGCACACCACTTTGTTTTTCACGGGAGACTCAAATAAATCTCTAGTTTCTGGTGATTCTAAGCAACTGAATGTGTTTCTGAAAAAGAGTATCACAAACAAGAGACTCAGTTGAGTCTCCAAGTTGGCGTGTAAATGAGTGTATTTCGTGCAATTTGTTTTCAAGTCGAGGAAAACTTGGGGACCATGCTTAACCGATGAATCCCAAGAAGGGGGTCGTAAGTTGTCAAAGAGCTTTCAGTAATCTTACGAGTAGTGTGTTACGTCTATGCAACTGAGTGTTGTTATTTGCAACACTCAAGTAGGATAAGATCTAATAATTTTAATGGTGACGGGGACAAATGGGAAGAAGTCGCATGGATGTTGCAGGCTTACTCGAGTCAGTTGCGCTTGCCTTGTGTGCCAGATGACCAAGTGCTGAGCAAGGTGATTCCAGAGTTGTTTGACAAGGAACTCCAACCGAAGTTTACCCTGTGACTGTTCAGCTCAAAGTTCCGAAGCTGACGATAACATGGAATGAATTAAACGTATTTTGTGAGTGCAGTTTACAATTACGTTGGATGCCTCGGATAAGTGTCGAGTCTGCGTTTGTCGTTTGACGTCGCTCCGCTCTGCATCGACCTCGTTAGCTTCGGTTGTCTAGGTTATTTGAACTTGAAACCTGAAATCACTTTCACCTATCTGTAATTCGTGGTTTGATAAGGTTAAAAACCGTACTAGGTTCACCTGATGAGCTCGAGATTTCCTTTGACCTTACCTACTCCCGATAGGTTGGACCACTGGGTGACTGAACCGTTGAAACTCCTGAAGGATATTTCGTTTCGTATCCACTCAAACGCTCACGCCATTCCTATATACGTTGGGGCTGTTTTTCGACTCCCCTGACTAACTATGTTGCTCATCTTGACTTACATAGCTTGTCTGCCAGACTAGGAGGTAACTCAACTTCTTGACGCTCTCCTATGAACAGTTATCAGGGGGCTGATAAGATTTCGTTATAGTACAAACGTCAGTCTGTACGGATAGTTCGCTTAGCTTTCCGATGTACTGGTTTGAGGTGTCCCTTTGATCAAATGACGATTAGCCCTTCAGCGCGCGTTAATTGGAGGTTGTGAAAAACTCCAAGAGTCTCCCCGATGAAACTTGTAACCTACCAGCGGAACCTATCCTAGTGCATTCACCTATCGTCCTGCACTGCCCGATGCTCCCGTAGATTGTATCTGTCCCAATAGTTTGTTGACAAATTACTGTCATCAGAATTCCTCATGCAGAATTCAGTAGTTGGAAGAGTAATCTGGAAATTCTTACCGTTATTTTCCTTTCGTTCGCCATGCCTTCTAAAACTTGTTGCTCATAGGGATTACTGCTGTTCAGCATTCAGCTGTGGCACCCTTTCGGGGCCTGACTGCCATGCCACCAGAAGGAAGCACGAGGGCTGGGATACTGTCAGGTTGCCTAAGTCGAGAGGCAGAGGTCGGGTTCGAACCACGGACATTCCGGTCATTAAATTCGCGCTCTAACCACTTGAGCCATCTCGCCCCCGGACTTACTGCTAGTTTCTCATTCGAACAGAATTTACTGACAGAATGGCCTTTCCAGTATATAGTCCAAATCCACATTCAGTTCGGGATGTGCCATGTGACCAGCTTGTCCGTCACGTGACCGGCAGATTCATCTGACGCTTCCAATTAGCACCTATCAGATGATGCACTGTTTGCTTGAGTAAACAGACCAGGCTGCCCTCTGTGCTGACCTAGCACACATGGGCCTTTTCGGCCCAGTCACCTGTTTAGCTGTTGTTTACCTAAGCCCTGGCACACGTAGTTTTCAGACCTACAGAGCAAACTGACTGATTGATTGATTCGTTGTGGATTGTTTGATTGTGCCTTGGTAACCTAAGCGCAGGCAGGGAGTGTAACGCAATATGTGTTGATTTAGTGACTCAGTTTGTTTGTTCATGGTCTGCCTTATCACCTCCGTTGTAACTTGAACTATCTGCTGCTGCCTTGTACCATTTTTTCCTCAACCAAACTGATGTACTCAGAAGTTTGTTTAACTTGCGACTGAATCGTTTTTTTTGTTCGCAGTTTGCAACTGGACGCATTGATAGCCAGGTATCTTCTAGTGATTGTATGCACTGACACAAACGACAAGCTATTCTGCCTCGGTGTTCATTTTTGCTGTAGTCCATCTGACAGCTCAACCCGTTTGAGACGAACTTGCACCTATCTTCTAGTGATTGTATGCACTGACACATTTTTGCTGTAGTCGATCTGACAGCTCAACCCGTTTGCAAAAAACTTCCACTGCTTCCAGTAGACACGAGTATTTTGTGGATAACCGGTACAACTACAATCATTCTGTTGACAGTTGTTAGTCTATAGACTTTCAAAACCATTTAATAGACGAATGTGCCGTTTGTAGTCTCGCCTAGGTGCCTTCAAAGCTTGATTTCCTCAGACTAACAAGAGGAATCGTTTACCCGGCGTGTAGCACTAGTGGTGGCGTTAGTGTCTGTAGAATTTCGGACTGCTACGTGTCCTACCTATGGATTTTCACGCCCAGGGTGTCACGGATTTTCCACTCACTCCCGTTCACCAATGTGTAGCACAAACAACAAGGAATCTGATGTAGTACGTGGATTCAAGTGGGGGGCTTTCGCTGGTTAACTTTGTAGCTTTTCAAGTCCTATCCACCACCGTCCGTGAAACGGTAGATCAATGTGAAAAACCGCATACTGTGTTTACAGATGTTGACGTTTTGACAGCATCGGCCTTGTACTGTTGGTTTGACCTTGCTGACAGAACTGCTTCATCCCGTCTTTCATCTGTGCTGAGTGTCGTGAGTGATAGAGAATGCACCTGACAGTACCAACATGAGGGGCTGGACGCTTCCATCTTCCCGTTTTGTGGGTTTGTTTGAATCCCGGGCGTCTTCGATCATTTCATGGGATCAATACAACCAGGTTTGGACACAGAATAATTCGACGGTTACGGAGACAAATGCGCGTTGTATCTCAATATCTTTCGTCTAATTATCGTAGACTACAGTCGCTCGACTGACCATTATTCACGCCTGGTAGACCAAGTTCATCTCGCGTGATGGTCTGGCAAGCGAACGCTTCTCATTCGACTCGCCTGAGTCACGTGAGGATGAAAGTCGCGTTGGTTGAATTGCCTGATAAACTACGTTACCCGAAAAACTTCGAATGGTGTTGTGAAACACCCCGTTTGACTACTAAAGCTGAACTGTTTGAAGTAGTTATTTCAATAAACGGCTTCATAATAGTGTTGTTAGAAACGAAGCCCTGTTTTTAACACTGGGTAATTGCTTCCATGACTGGGCATCCTGATCGATTTTTTCAAATCGCGTTCTGGGTAAATCAATCGTTTGAAGAGCAGCAGTAGCAGCAAAAAAATCAATCGTTTGTGTCTGATTTCAGCTTCTCCTATTCGCAGGAAAGCCTGTTGTGGTGACTGAATTGTTTGTCCCTTAAAGCAATTACGACTGTTCAAGCATAGTATCGAATCTTTTCATGTTCCGTCAATGGTCAGATCCACTTTACCGGTTATTGCCACTGAACCCCACGTGACTCATGTTCACCGGGGCGTTTGGTAATCGACTTGACTCGTGCTGTAGTCGGTTCGTGCCTGACACATTAAACACGATTTATGCTGACCAATCTTCCCTTATATATTCGAGCCTCAAAGTGTGAAATCGAGTTGCACGCAGTATGAGCAGTAAGAAGGTCTCTGTGGGGGTGGACTCGATCCTCGGGAGGAGGTCTATCAACCAAGCTACTGAGGATGCAACTCAACGCCACCCCTCACATGATTTGTCTTACGGATTACTAGCTGGTTTTTCAGCACCATCAGTCAGTCTCTAGTGTGATGAGGTCCACGACGGGATAGACCGTTTATATCGTCCTGATACCCAAAGGACGATCTACCAAATATTTAAAGTAGTACGTTTGCCAATACCGTGTACCAATTCTTTCAAAAATATTGGTACAAAAGTGTTGTCAATATTAAGAAAAGGCCAAAAAGTGTATATCCACTCGGTCATCCAGCCAAAAGCATTGCAATGTAAGTGGGGCAACAACAAAATTGATGTACAACTTCTCGCTTGCTTAGATGTACGCCCCAGCCGATTTACGTCCCCCATCTGGTTCGCTGAGTTTGCGACGCATAATTAGCGATGTTAGCCAGATTACGATGGGTCTAGAGAGAGAGAGACTGAATAGCCAGATTACGATGGGTCTAGAGAGAGACTGAGGTACTTGTTTTCGTCGTGTTAACAGCCCACATCTAACCTTTTTCCAACTTGATTGTAGTAATAGGATTCGTTCTCCCTGTGATCACCGCTCAATGGTGTGTGTGCACGCAACAGGTGGAATGGAACGGAAACGGGAGATACGTTGTCTATGGTTGTCGCGAGAACCGGACTGGAATAGAATCATATCATCCAGCCATTCGGATGTGGCGTCGTTGTGATCCGTGTCTGCTGCGCAGGAAGTACGATGATACTGCCTGACTGCCCAAGCCTAAACAGGATCGATTGAGGTGTCAGGTTGAACTCGAGCAATAGAGCTTCCGGTCATCTATTACCGTCTAGGGTATCTCAGATCGGGATGGAAACCAAGCCCTGGTCCGTTCTGTGATTGCATTGTCTCTGCCAGCTCGCTTGTGTGTTCCCGTTGGGTGGGGTGGTGTAATCGGTTACTTGGCAGTGCATAGAATTCAGGACAAGATTATAATTACCCTGGGTACACAAAGGCATTCGAAGTGAGTACGGTTCATCTACGAAGTCCGGAGAAAATCCTGATCAGATATTACTTTCTACTTTTGTACAGCAAGCAACATTTGGCTTGCGAGGTAAGCAAAACTAGTGGGGTTTAGTTCAAGCCTACCTGAACGGTACTGATTGGCCCCAATGATAAAACTGATTTTTTTCTAGAAACGTTGCACCTTTTGTCATGCACTTTTCAAGGGTTCTTGTCACAAGTGAATCAACCACTTGTCAGCGGTCCCCCGTTTCATATATTACGGCTGACTGTCTACCAGTCTTCCGCGCCATATGCAAATTGGCTAACAATTTAAGGCTCTTGGGTCAGTCGACAAAAAAGCTTCTTATTGAAAATGATCTCTGTCGTCTTCAGCGTCGTAAGCAACGCCTGTGGGACTGGACAATGCCACCAAGTTCCTCGCTAACAGACAAAAACAATAGGGTGTTACTCGAGGAGTCTCTCTTGATGGCTATCTCTCTCTCTCTAATTCGTTTGGTAATTTAAACTCGAACCTGACTTATTCCTAATTCACTGGCGTTGCTTCGCAGCTAATCGCATTCCGATAGTCCTGACACAATGCTTAATGACAGCTGATGGCTACCTCGATGTGTGTGTGTGTGTGTGTGTGTGTAGGCGCAGGCATCCAACGCTGTTTGAATAGGTGTATGTGATTCTGAGCAGCAAAATGGTGGTGAGCCGGTCGCGTCATTTGAATTTTCCGCTAGAAGAGGCATAAACCAAGGCAGCGAGAGTTTCTTTTGGGCTTCTACAAAAAAACAGTACAAACTCGTGCTTCTCTCATTAGCACCATTTCCGGACCGGTGTGCTGTGTCGCACACATATCCCCCCCTTGTGCGCGCAACAAATAACGATAAACGCCTGGAAAATGAGAAGAGCAATAATATGGGTGATCGTATCCTACTCGTCGTCCTCTCCAACACCATATCTTGCTTCTTCCAGGTTGATTGACTTTCCAATTTCTCCAGATGTTTTGTCGACTACCGGATTCTGGAGACGGCTCTGTCTGATGTGTGTGTGTGAATGAATCAGGCACAATCGACCACTACCATCTGTCATATGGTTGTGCTTTTTCGATACTTGACTGGGTGGGCGGCGATTGGGGGATATCCTCACAAGCCACATTCATATTGCCAGAATATCAACGTCTTCTTTATGGGTCGCACTCTGCTTGACGAAATTTATGTGTCCAAGCGGAATTTTGTCTCCAAAGAGCTTCCGTTCATAAAACACACCAGATGAATTGCTGCTTGAAGTGCAGTAGGGTAGATTGTCATCTTATTGGCTAGCTTCCTGAATCAGGAAGCTACTGTTGAAGTTGTAGAATACTGATAAGACTGACAGAAACTTGACAAAATCGGCATACGACAGATCTCACATCCGGACTAGGCGAGAAAGTGGAGCCCATACATTGTTGTCCCCTATGGTTTATAGCGAGAAACTCGCAAGGTCATCTTCGATTAGCCGCTAGCTTTTATTCTCATGGTCTTGCACACACTGTTGTGGAGAACTGCAAACCAGCGCCGATGAACCAGCAGTGATGAGCTCATCTTTTTGTCATAAACATCATCCGGCGGACGTGATTATGTTATTCGAGAGACAGATATTCCTGACGCATGTTCATGCCCAACGGTGTTGCCTCCTTTGTCCTTTTGGTAAAAAAATGGAGTAAGACTTGTCTTATGAGGAGATTGGGCACTCAACAACCTGGTTTGCTCAGAGAACAATCGGGCGTTGCTAGTTGTGGACCTGGCAATCGGCTCAAAACGTTCCTTTACCATGTTGGATGAACACTTGGATCCACCCGAGCTAGCATGGTAGGTGTGTCCCCTATCAAGTTACAAATGAGTTGTTATACATGCATTCAAAGACACGGCGCTTTCGTAACCGCCATAGCTCCTCGAAACCTTGGCAACATGTCTGGGAGTCGATTCATGTATGCCTTAGCTCTTCAGAACTTAGGACAACGACCTCAAAAGGAAGCTGAACAACGTTTTGGATTTGACACATGATTCAAATAAATCTGCAGAGTAATCAGGAGACAAATCAGTTACTTGGTGTCTTCTGACGTACCAAGTACTAGACGATGACCATTTTCGCCACACACATACACCTCCCCTTTAATATCGTTCATTACCGAGTAGGACTCTTGTGCTTGCATCTCGGTCATCGACTTTTGTTTTCGGAGCGTCTGGCCCCTCCTGTTTCTTATGTAAATATATATGTCACAAACACAGAAGCAGGTCTGTTCTTTTCGGGTCACTGTCTGTCAACATGTGTGCTACTCATGGTCACCTGCAATGTGGACATGGGTGCTACGCTAATCGAAAATTGTGTTGACCTCATTTGTTTCTTTTTTTCTGTTCGTGCGAGGATGTGCAACAGAAACCCTCCATCTTGCGTCGAATGTTTTAGACCGGAGAGAGCAAGTTTGCACGGAAGACAGGATGAGACTTTTTGGGCTTTGAAGTTCCAGACATGGTATTCACTAATCAAACCTCATCGTTAGCTGAAATCCACTGGTGATGTATGCTGTTCTCAAGAAAATCTAGGCCCGCCGTGACGTCACTCCAGTCGGAAAGGCACTTTTCAACCCAATCGACAGTTAGTCTGGGTTAGCGTAACCAGATGTAAGGGTATGATGCTCTTTTCAATGCAGTACCTCACAATTTCCCAACCCCTGCTGCCCACTACATAAGAATTTCACCAGTGTATCAGGATGAACGACAATGGCTGATGAGATTTTATTCTTACTTACTGGCTGTCAACAAGTTCACGTTGCAGAAGATGCTCGATATTGATCTGCCTAACTTCCATGAGGTTCATCCTGGCTTGTATTTAATCAATCCGTGCTCCGTAACGTCAAACCTGGATTTTTTCTTTTCCTTTCCACCTTGTCAAACAAAACCGGTTGATTAAACAAGTGCCCCAGCCTCTTTCGTTTTCCCGAGTGCCCAACTCGTACCGATTGCTATTGCCCACTTTGCATTCCACCACACTCCAGTTGCTCGTCAGAAACACAAGCCAAGCAGCATTGAAATCAAAACGACGTCTAGAACAATAATACGTGCTGAATGGGATTGGAACGCGAGTTTCTCTTCATTTGTGCCTACCAACCCACTCACCCCTTCCTTTTTTTGTTCCGAGGTACCAGCCGAACTATCGGAGTGGTTTCGATTATGACAGGCTTTCGACGTGCTTTCAAGTCATGGCCAAAAAAAACACTTGAATTTCGCAATCAGAGTGGGCAGTACTTGAATGAAACATTTGATTTACTGGTTGGATCGGGGTGATTAATAACCACATTGTGTGTTGTTCCGTTTTGATCAGTCCGTGAAGTAGTTACCATTAGGATGTGGCGTTACAGTCCGACTGCAGGTCAACGCGTACGAATTGCACAAGACAAAAGGAGCACTTAGTCTGCAAGTGACGATTTCACCTGAGATGGGCTAATTTGAAAGTAGTAAGCATTTGTCAACATTGATGACTAGCAGTCACTCTCACCCTTTTGTTTTTTTTAAATTCACCTTAGCAACTAAGGTAGGGTAAAACACAACTCTGATGGTTCTCTCTTTGCCTCATGTTCAAATTAAAACAATTTCACTCCGAATTAGAAACATTCGTTAGGGCACCCCTGTCCACTTGACCGCCTAGTCACGCTTGTGTGCACACAGAAAAATAGATATGAACTTCTCCGTGGTTCAGGACAGTCAGACTGGATTTGGCGTTTTACAGCATCGCCTCTTTGTGGCAGCACTGGGTGCGTGTGCTGTCAGGCCGGTGGTATTCCTCGACCGCAGGCGCGGAATATTATCTCACCCTCCGCCACAGGATCTGCAACATGTGACTAGCTGTGTGACCTCATGGTCGCCCGTAATTCGCCCCGAGTCTGGTTGCCGGGGCGCAGTATGACGTTGGAACAATGGTTACGATGACCAGACAAAGCCTTGTCGGCGTACAATCCACATGAAAAAGTTCTGGTCATGCGTTTGCTTTGAAGATTCTCCCCATCGAGACATGAACCTTACGGTCGGGTACATCAAACGCATCACCGCACAATCCGATTGTTGAATGATTGAAAATTTTGTTATTGCAGGCAGGCGTCTATCAATGGTCTGACTAAACAAGAACGTAACCCAACCATGCCTTTATTGCACTGGTTGCTTTCTATCCCCATCTCATAACGTTCTTTCGGCATGACCTCTTCCGGTTAGGGCTTTCAATCCTTGTTATAAAGCTCCCAGGATTCCTTGGTGTTGACTCACCCGGGCTGCATGGTTATTGTATTTTCGCATGGCCTGGAAGCCCATTTGGGGTTGTTTTAGTCTAATGTGGTTTGGTGGACTGGAACTCGATTAGAACGCGGATTTACTGACCGGAAGGTCCGTGGTTCGAACCCAACCTCTGCATCTCAGCTGTTTAGGCAACCTGGCAGTCTCTAGGTGTTCTTGCTTCTTTCTGGTAGCATGGCATCAAAAGGATGTCGCAGTTGAAGTGGACTCAAAGGCACAAAAAGCTGAGAGATCGGGAAATGTTCAACTACACGAGACAGGTTACTCTTGTTAGGTAGGTGAGCAATCCGATCATGTGAATAGCTAGTGACACACATTGTACATTGTACATTGAATGAAGGAACGTCACGCAGTAAAAATAACTGAAAAAATGATTAGCCGTTTGCAGAAGTTGGGAAAAATATCTGTCGCGAAACACACTCATTTGGAAGCTAAGTTGGTTTTAACGAGAGATTCCCAGTTGAATCTCTTTCAATAAGGGGGGAAACCGCTCGTGAGCTGTCGAAACGTCTTCAGCAATCTCATGGCCGGTTTCTCCCCTTTTCGAGAAAACATACCGCGATATCTCGAATGACATATCATGAAGCGACCTTTGTGCAGTTGAACAACCAGGGTTTTAGTTGAGATTAACGGAGTCTCCCGTAGAAACCAAGTTAGTGTGTAGTTGGGTGCATTTCGCGAACTGGGGTTCGATTAGAACATATGGTAGACAGAAACTCGGGTCATGGGCTACCGGTTACTTTTTAACACCCTTATGAGTAGTGAATTCGGTGTATTTCGGGATATACTCCTCTTGACCCCATGATACATCTTTTCAGAGGACATGTTCTTTCTACATTGATGTTGTTCAAAGCATGTCTCACACCCTCGCCTTCACCTTTCTACTTGTGAGGTCTTGGTCAAAAACCTGCTTTAACGGATGAATATCACACTGGCATAGACAGCGTCACATCACACGCATGTTCGGTTTGATCTGACGTGCAACGTGACAAACCCGCCATATACAACTGTCTACTCAAGTCTTGAACCGTGTGAACTGATAAGCGTTGTCGTTCTGGTTAAACTACATCCTACACTCGCATAACAGACAAATGAAGATTAGCCCGCCATATAATACAACTGTCTACTCAAGTCTTGAACCGTGTGAACTGATAAGCGTTGTCGTTCTGGTTAAACTACATCCTACACTCGCATAACAGACAAATGAAGATTAGCACGAACAATGTGTAAACATGAAGAGTTGTTCCGGGGTGAGGAACACGTCCAGTCGATTAGACGTGAGATGCATCGGATGTTTGGGCGGAGGACCAGAATTTCTGGTTAGTCATGTTCACTTTCGGCATTTGGACACCAGATGTCCGTGTTTATGCGCTGCGTGCCTTGATGGCTTATTTTTTTCTCCTTCTGTTTTTGTTTGCATTGAGAAAGGTGGAGTTGGACACAATCCTTACCCCAGAATCTGGTCCCCTTTGAAACACTAGTTTGTAAGAGCTTGGGGTCAGTGGATAAGCAGACGGGCGATTTCGACCTGGTCATCATCCGCTCCGCGTTGAAACTATGTTTACCGTTGTCTCACGATTGTAGCCCAGCTGATGTTCATCCAAGAACGTGATTCACATCACTCTAATTCTGCCGGTCACCACAATGTATGAACTCTACAAACAAACATTGTTCCCTATAACATCCTTATTTTGTGGTAAGCCACTTTAGAAGCTGACTGAGTGTCAAACACGGCTGGCTGTGGTTGGGTTCAAGCTTTGGCCGTGGAAATTCACGTATCCTTAGCTCTTTTGACACATTAGCTTGGATTTTTCGCTCTGAGTGGCGTGCCACTGTCCTCAGTGGCATCCAATCTGCCTTCAATGCATAAATCCTCGCCCAATCTCCTCAGTGAAAAGTCTACTGAGAACCCTGTATTTGTGCATCAATTAGAAACGTGTGCTTTGTTCCAACCAACTGTCAGAACGGTATCACGACCGGTCAGTATTCAGACCGGGTGTCTAACTGATCTTCCCCTGGGACCCACCCACCCATCAAGTTTTGAGCTTGAAATGTTAACATTACGCGATCTAATCAAGAAAACTGTAGATTTCCGTCTTTTCTGTGTTCGTCAGATGGGTTTCGTGACCGGTTTGATCAACAGAGGCTCGGTTGCAACTACGAGTCCTTGGTAATTGATTATTTGATCAGGAAAGTTGCGTTTGTGTGACAACAGCAATATGATTGGCTGTGAATAGAAGGATGGTTTATTCTACTTATTTACTTACTGCTATTTACTACTACTTATTTAATTATTTGATGGGTTCCGAGAAATACACTCATTTGCAAATCAATTTGGTCCTCACGTTTGGTCCTCGTTTATGATATTCTACAACTAAAGTGCTGCTCACAGGCCGCTTCATGTTTCAGTTGGCACGATATTCGAGATATTGCAGTATATTTTCATAAAGGAATATCATAAGCGAGAGATTCGGTTGAATCTCTTGTGAAAATCAAATTGAGTTGCAACTGAGTGTATTTCTCGAAAACAGTCCAATATGGGTTCAAGCAGATCATAAGGTTGATGGAAACTCGGGGACTGCGCCTACCTGATAAGCCCCAAGAAGGGCGAGGCCGGTCGTGGGCTGTCGAAGGGTTTCAGCACCCTTGTGAGTAGTTTCCTGTATGAAAATATTTGATGGGTTGTTCATTTACCCACTTATTTAATAACTCTACCGACCCCAGTTAGATCCACACAGAGAATTTCGAAGGCAACGAATAGCCTTGTGTGGCTGAACTTTTCGCGGTCCGTCTGCGTTTTCATAACATCTGAAACTCTTTGCAGACTGCATACCATTTAGCTTAGAAGACGAGTTAGGGAGAAGCAACGTACCTAGTGTAGTATCCTCTACTAGCTTTTCACCTCTCCCGTTATTCGTACTCCCCATGAGAGTGAACGTCCCCTAGATCGTGGCGATCAGTTTTTTCTGACGTCTGATTAAATGACATCCCCGTCCAATCGT